CCATTTAGGGTACTTATAACTCTACGACTCTACTTATAACCTACTTACTAAGTCCCCTGGGCCTCCAAGTTTTGGTTATCAGCCCAGAGACTCCAAAACCCCTTAATTAAGGAAGATACCTTAAATCATATGAGGGATCCTATTATAATTTAAGGTATATTCCTTAATTAAGGGGTTTGGGAGTCTCTGGGAGAGCTTTGAGGTTTAAGTGCTTTAGGGTTTTTTTAGGGCTTTTGGGTTAAGGGTTTAGAGGTTTCGGGTGTAGGGTTCAGGGTTTAGGGCTAGGGCTTAAGGGCTTCTTTGGGGATTTGTTAGGGTTTTGGGTTTTGGGCTTAGGTTGACAGCCTTGCTTGGGGATACCTACTTGAAGGCTCTACTGGGTAGTTGTGAAAGCGTAGGCCGCAGAAGAGGGGCTATTTTTCTTCTGCCGGTTCTGCCGCCATGTGTTTCTGGCGGGTTGTCGTGGCAGACACCTGCTCCTACTCCTGCTGTGCTGCTCCCCTGATGCACACCCTCCGATTTCGATATAGATATCAGTTGGATGGATAGATAGATACGATTGATGATAAAAATCCTGCATTACCCACAATAAGGCATATACCATACTTCCCATACCTTAGGGTCCGTGAAGGTAATGCAGGATTTACATCAACACTAGATCGATAGGTAGATAAGTAGATAGGTACATAGTGACTGAGACCTGCGACTTGGGTGTTGCCGAATGGTTGTAGGGCTCAAGGATACTTGGAGGCCCAGGGGACTTAGTAAGTAGGTTATAAGTAGAGTTATAAGTACCCTAAATGGAGTTACCCTAATTAAAACCTTACTTATAACCGACTTACTAAGTCCCCTGGGCCTCTAAGTAATGGGGCTTCCAGAAATTACGGGATCTTGCCATGGACCCTTAATCAAGCCCCGGGAGGATCCAAAATGTAGATCCCTTAATGGGGGTTCCTATAAGGAGCCTTTAGTAGTATAGGGTCCCAAACCCTAAACCCTAAAACATAAACACTAAACCCTAAACCCTAAACTTCTACTTTCTAGATCTTTCCAGGGGTCTGGGTAATCAAAGAATCCGAGTTCCCCCCCGGCTTCAAGACACACCCGGAGGATGCTTTGGGATGCCTTGGGGTGTCGGGTCGAGTTTACCCCCCAAGAAACTAGTCGGTTTAGGGTTTAGGGTTTAGGGTTTAACGTTCATGATTTCGGATTTAGGGATCCCTTTAGGCCCAAGGCCTCAAAAATCGGAAAGAAACTGAACTGGCTTTCGGCAAGGATCCAAAAACCACAAGCTTTCGTGCTTTGCGGTTGCAACACACTCCCAGGGCCCAGGTCAGTCGGGAGAGTAGCACAGCCGGCGATTTAGCGTTTCGAACTACAGCTCCTGAGCGACGAAGCTGGCAGCACGGTTTAGGGTTTAGGGTTTAGGGTTTCTGAATTCTAAGGCTTCGCAAAGGCCAAGAGCACGCCCGAGTGTCGGAAAACGACATGTCCGTAAGATGCAACAAAGTCCCTGTGGCTTGGGATCATAAGCAGTCAGCCCCTGCTGAGGGGATTTGACTATTCAGACGTACTTCGCCGCTCCCTTGAAGTACAAGGATGCCGCAGAGCAGGCACTAATAATTACTTAGAGGCCCAGGGGACTTAGTAAGTCGGTTATAAGTAAGGTTATAACTAGGGTAACTCCATTTAGGGTACTTATAACTCCACTTATAACTTACTTACTAAGTCCCCTGGGCCTCCAAGTATACTGGACGTACAGGCGCAGTGCGGCGCGTTATTATAACAACAGGAAGTAATGATGACAGGTTCAAGCCGTTCTGCTCCGTCGCTGAGGGAGCACAAGAGCCGCATCCCGGAGGGCACGACCAGTGAAACACCGAAGCAGATCCGCTGTTCACGGACCACATGACGAATTAACGATGCCAAGCATCGCGGGGACAATCCTACCGGAGTGTCCGGTTCCATGTTGCTGTCCTGCTCACCCCTGGCCGGCGCGGGAACAGTCTGGCTTGGGGCGAGATTCTGAAGTCGACTTACGTAGACATGCAGCCACCATGGCCTGAGAGTTGAAAATCCGGGGGGGAGTGAGACGCTAATCTCGGGGGTCTAAATAATTACCTATACGATTCGCTGGGGCTTCAAGTTACAATTCTAATAAAATACTGTATACAGATGTATATAATACCACCCCCCCTCCCCCCAGCAAAAAAAACAAACAATATTCTAAACACCAAAACCCTTCATTAAGCCCTTCGCACTTGGAGATCTGGATACCCTGAAGTCCGTCGCGCCAGACTAGAGGCCTGAGCCTGTACCCACTTGTCCAGTATTGGGGTTTAATGTAGTTTTTCAAGTTTCTATAGGGTTCAAGTTTTCTTTCAAACGTCTATAGGCTTGGGGGTTTAGGGGTTGAGGGTTTAGGATTTAGGATTTTGGGTTCTGGGGGTGCAGGAGTTTAGGGTTTAGGAGTTTTGGGATTATAATCCTCAAGGGGACCCGGATCTTCCAAAGCCCTGTTTTGTCATACAGGAATATGCCTCAGATTCATAGACAGGATCCTACGATAGTTTACTGGGTATTCCTTCTAATTAAGGGGGCTTTTGGAAGATCTGGGGAACCAAGGGCCATCCTTCACCGGTCATATAGGGAAAATATACCCCCCCAAACAGGTTAAAGGTCACCTACTCTAGTGCGTAAGCTTAGCTCGGACCCCACATCGAACTATGAACTGAAGAAGGTAGAAAGCCCTCTTCCTGGACACTTCATGCCTCCTGAAAACTGCATACCTCTCTAACAGTTTCCCTCGTTGCCGAAAATAGGGGACCCTCATGTCGTACCCTAAATATAAGGTACCCCTAATTTTCGGAAACTTCCATTTAGTTCTCGGGCCTTGGCGGAGAGCAGCCGCCGAGCTTCGAGACCAGCTCGCGGCAAGTTGCAACCCACCTCAAAGGAACGGTTTAGGGTTTAGGGTTTAGGGTTTAGGTTTCAGAACCCTAAACCCTAAACCCTCAACGGTTTGGGGTTTAGGATGTAGAGCTTTGGGGATAGTAGGGTTTAGGGAGTTTGCGGCTCAGGGGTTAGCCGCGCTTAGGGTTTAGCGTGCAGAATCTAGGCCTTTGGGTAATGTCGGGCTGTACGGGCATGAAGAGTTCCAGAAGTGTTCTACAGCGGTTCAGGGGTATATGAATATGGGCATCAAGACCTAGATTTTGAAAAAGCTTGTCTCTCTCTCTCTCTCTGTGCGTGTCGGCGTGTGGGCGTGTGGGCGTGTGGGCATGTGGGCGTGTGGGCGTGTGGGCGTTTGGGTGTGTGGGTGTGTGGGTGTGTGCTGCTGTCCGAAGCCGGGAAGACACGAAGGCGACTGCGCCCGAACACCTCCGTGCCGGAGGCAAGTTGGAATGTATGTGCGGCAAGAAGGACGACAGGAATTCCCAAGAAAGAAACAATGGCGGATGACACGAACCATGGAAAGAACGCACGGCATGAACATTGGTATGTTCGCGACCTCCACAGCGGCATTGCGCCTGGCTTCGGAAAGCTTTTCCTCGAGCTTCCAGCTGCAGTCGGAGTGTGCATGTGCAAAAGTGAAGCTGCTCAAGTGTGTTCCAAAATGACCGTGCGCCTGCGAGCCTTCCGTCCTTTCATAGGCACCACTACAGACAGCTAAACCCCAATAACCCAAAAGCCTAGACCCTGGCACCCTCCAAGACAAACACAAACAACAGTCCGAAAACCCTAGACCCTAAAACCCAAACCCCGAAACCCTAAAACCCTAAACCCTGAATCCTAAACCCCAAACCCTTTAAAGCCTAAGCTCCAGCCCTGACAGCTCAAGCCCAAGAGTGCAGACCGGGCGGCGGTACAGCCTTCTTCCTGCCGAGGCCTTGCGGTTTTGATGTTTAGGGTTTATATGGTTTAGGGTTTAGGGTTTAGGGGTCCAACATTTCTTGTTTTGGGGGTTTCCGAAAATAGGGGACCCTAATATACTACCCGAAATAGTGGGATCCTGATTATAAGCACCCCAAAATAAGGTACCCCTAATTTTTGGAAACTCCCATTTGGTTTAACGCTTGCGGTTCAGTGCTCCTTTAGGGTTTAGGGTTTAGGGCTCCTTTAGGGTTTAGGGTTTAAGGTTTCGCGTTTAGGGTTTAGGGTTTCGCGTTTAGGGTTTAGGGTTTCGGGTTTTAGTGTTATTTTTTTTATAGGGTTTAGGGTTTCGGGTTCCGGAGATGGAGTGTAGCGTTTAGGATTTGGGAGCTTCCGAAAATATGTACCTTACTTAGGGGCCCTAAAAAAAGAATCCTACTATTCAGTGGGTACTCTGCTAGGGTCCCCGATGTTCGGGAGCCCCCATTTCTGGCTTCGGCATTAGCCGAGCTTAGCTCCCAGGAGGGCTCCTTATCTTAATTTTACACGGTTTAGGGTTTAGGGTTTAGGGTTTAGGGTTTAGGGTTCGGGTTTAGGGTTTAGGGTTTAGGGTTTTAGGGTTGCAGATTGAAGGCATGTCTTGGAGCTACAGGGCTCGAGATGCTCCCCCCAAACCCCTAAGCCCCTAAACCCGAAACCCTAAACTCCTAAACTCCTAAACCCCCTAAACCCTAAACCCTATATAAACCCTAAACCCCCTAAACCCTAAACCATGCTAAACCCTAAACCCTATAAACCCTAAACCTCTAAAGATTTAGGGCTTGGGGCTTCCAAGTTCGAGTGTTCAGGAGGACTTCGCCGCTTTGGGCTTGAGAGTTCGGGTCTGGGCGTGTTTAGTATAGGGGCCTAAAAGTTATTCCGACCCCAAACA